CAGTAGTTGCTGTTTTAGATATATAGAAGCCATTGCAGCACCTGTTCATAAAATATTTTAGAAGCTATATAGATACAAAAATTTATTAAACTTAAATATTGACATAAGATACACAAAGTAGACTGGAAAGTTTTTAAATGAATATTTTATACTATCTGTTTATCACATATCAATTTGTACCATATATATATATCTAAATATACACATACATTTTCTTTGTTCTTTCTTTCAAAAACAATTTGACATCAGGAAGAATAACTTTTCCCCATCCACAAATATTATTAAATTCTACCAAAGCATTATGTGCCCATATAAATATGGGCACTCTATAAATATTTTAATACAGTTGTCCCCCTTAATCAGTGGTTTCCCTTTCTGTGGTTTCAGTTACTTATAGTCAGCTACAATCTGAAAGTATTAAATGGATAATTCCAGAAGTAAACAGTTCATAATTTTTGAATTGCATGCTGTTCTGAGCAGCATGATGAAATCTCCCACCATCTTGCTCTGTCCTGCCTTGGACGCTAACCATCCCTTTGTTTACTGTATCCTGCCCCTGGTATCGTCTTGGTTATCAAGTTGACTATCATGGTATTACAGTGCTTTTGTTCAATAACTCTTAATTTCACTTAATAATGGCCCCAAAACACGAGAGTAGTCATTCTGTTAATTTGGATTATGCCAAATGGAAGCTGTAAAGTATTTCCTTTAAGTGAAAAGTTGAAAATTCTCGACCGAATAAAGTAAAACACCTGTATATTGACATTGCTAAGATCTACAGTAAGAAGGAAATACATAAAATTGTGAAGTAGGAAAAAGATTAGTTATAGTTTACTGTTGCATCTCAAACTACAAAAGTTAATGGCCACAGTGCATGATAAATGCTCACCTAATATGGCAAAGCAATTAAATTTGTACAGTAAGATATTTTGAGAGAGAGAGGCCATATTCACATATTTTTATCATAGTATATTGTTGTAATTTTTCTATATAGTTTGCTATTTCTATTTGCTCTGCCTAATTGATAAACTTTATCATCAGTATGTGCAGGAAGAAAACACTATATATAGGGTTCGGTATTATCTGCCAGTTTCAGGAATTCACTGAGGGTCTTGGAGCATATCCCCCATAGCTAAGGGGGGACCTCTGTATATGCTATTATTACATAAAATTTGTTCTAAAGTACTGTTTTAAAAAATGGAAATAAAAAATTCTAGAACTTCTATTTCTAGTTATGGTAGATTAAAATTCAAGATACCCTCTGAGAACAACTAGAAATGTATTCAAAAAGATGTTTAAACCTACTTGAATGCATTGAAGATGTAAAAAGGAAGGGACAAATCAAGTGACCAGTGAGAAGAAAGACCTTGATAACTGAACCTGGGGTTTAGTACCACTTTATATGTCAACATGGAACTGATAGTTGAGCATCAGGGTATATAACTTTGAAAGTCTTGTTAGGCAAGGGAACAAGTTGGAGCCCAGGCTTAGTATACTAAATATGGGTTGGGACACTCTGTAGTTTTGTTTGCAGTGCCTAAACTCTGTAGCTAAGAGATCTGTGTGAACTGCAAGGTGTGGTTCCTCAGAGTCTCAAACCCAGTTGCAAATACCCTCAATCTCTGAAGTTAGTTTGTGTAATCCTCAAATATTATTTACTGTTCATGCCCACAGAAACAAACATAAATCTCACTGAAGAAAAGTAATATCTTAGGTCCCAAATTATTTTACCTGTTATTATATAGTGTCAAGCACTTAGACTCCAATGAGATGAGGCCATAGGAAAGAAAAAGCACAATTAGAACTGAAAGCAAACAAAAATCCCTCCAGATAAAGCAGTTATCAGACATTGAACTGAAAAGAATTATCTTTAATATGTTCAAAGTTTTTAAAAAAAAAAAAGCTGAGAATTTGAGCAGATAATGAGAAGTTATAAAAAAGAACTAAATGAAATTTCTAAATTCCAACAATAGAATAATCAAAATTCAGAACTCATCAATGGTTTATCAGCATACTATACACAGCTAATGAGATAAGGCAGTTAGTCTTCAGATCAGGAGAAAAAGTGAAGTAAAATATAATAAAATGATTGAAACTACAGAAAAAGAAAAAAAAAGAATAAGCGTGGGAGAGCAGTGAGAATTTTTAGTGTTATATGTTTGGAGTCCCAGAAAAAGAAAGAAAAAAAAAAAGACTGACAGTGTTTATAGAAAGTTTAGCTAAAAGTTTTCAAATTGAAAAGGATACAAAACCATATTTCAAGAAGCCCTATGGGCATGAAAACAATAAAAATGAAAACCATGTGGGGACATCATAGTGAAGTTGCTAAAAATCTATAACAAAGTGAAACATTTTAAAAACAGCTAGAAAAAGGTATAAATCATTGTCAAAGAATGACTGTTAGACTTTTGTAATGGAAACAGTGGAAACCAGAAGAAAATGGAAAGTTATCTCCAGAGTGTTGGGAGAAATCAGCCATCAGTCTCTACTCAGTACATGAGCTTTCTATTGTTATATAACTACCATAAACTTAGTTTCTTAAGGCAACTTTTATTTATTATCTCTTAGTTCTGTAGGTTGGAAGTCCATATACATTGCCTTCCCCCTTATATGCATCCCATCTCCAGACTAGGACATTTGTTTACCATTGACAAGGTGTATGTTTAATTTGAGAAGGTTTCATCTGATTATTACATCTCTGATCAGTCAAGTTGAGTTTTTAAATGTGTGTAGAAATCTAAATATATAGAAACAAAGTATACTAACAAGACATATTTGAATTTTAACATCATAGTCATCTCCTAAGGCTCTTCAAAGATAATGATTTTTATCTGAGAGCTACAGAATTGCTGCAGTAGTTTCTTAAATTTTACTACTGTTTGAATATTCATTTATTTCCATGGCAATATATATCCCCTGACAGTAGATGATAAAGCTCCCTTTTCAGGGATCTATGTGGGATAGATATTATACAGTAGCAACAACTTATTTTCATTCTATATGTGCATAACAAAACTCCTGGATCCTGTTTTTGGGATTGTCTGAAATAGGAATCAAAAGTATTTGCTTTCTTTTGGATTGAAATAGCATCTACATACTGGAATCTATGCATATTTATGGGTTATTTGTATTGGTAGAGATGGCTTTTAAAAATACAAAGAGTTAAATATTCTTAGCATTTGTCCCTAGCTTGTCATATTTATCACTATTGTTTGTCACTTTTGAATAGCACTTAATTTTGCTTTCTAAACTTTATTTGAAAGTCTTTATTCTAAGTATAGCAATTGTGTCTCCATTTTGATGATTTCTATTTGTCTCTATTGAAATATAGTTATCACTTGCTTATTAAAGTTGATGCAACATTTTCAAAATATTTATTTTTAAATATATTCATACCGTCTCATTGACTTTTGATAACATTTGAAAGTATTCTATAGGCCATATTTTGGGCCAGAAGACCTGATAGAAAATATATTTTTTGAAATCTAGAATCTTAAAAAAATAAAAAATGTTTATTATGTTACTAGTCACCTAACATTCCTTCCCATGTGGAAAGAGCACTTTCAAAATTAAACATAACTTATCATTAGGTAAAATTGCCTTTACCATGTAAAATTTTATAATTTCATTGAGTGATTTACTTTATACTTTTATCTTTTAAATATACTGCTTACTTTCTAAATTGTTTTTTTAAAGGAAGATCTGTGCAGTTTATTACTGTATCCTTGGATAAAAATATCCAGCAGCCAAGGATCCCAGTGTAATAATCATTAATGGGGCAAATCTTATTTTTCACTGGTGTCTGTAGTAGCACCTAAATATCCTCACTAAGCAAATTCAAATCATACCTTTTTGGTTTATCCCTTTTCCAATCTAATGACAATTAAAAGTTACTGTCAACAGTTGCAGAAATAGTATTAGAGTAGAAGTCAGAATATTTGATTTCAATCAGTCTCTATGACTTTCTAACTATGTGAGCTTGGTTAAGTTAAAAGCTTTCTTAAACCTTCCTTTCTTCCTCTGTAAAACAACAATAATAATACCTTCTCCACATAGCTATTGTAAAAGTTAGATTTATATAACGCCTACTGTATAGGGTTTGTTCCATTAGGTATTCACTACATATTAGTTTTAATTCCACACTATTATTATCAAAACTTCCCCTTCTTTCCCTTTTACTTTTTTCTTCTCTTCCTTCTCCTGAATGTCTTTATGGAAGTTAACTGTTTCTCTCCCTTTTTACTTGAAAAGTAGGTCACATTATTTTGCCTTGTGCCTATAAGTGGTACATTCAATGCTTTGGGAAATAGTAACTCTACAAACATTAGAAGTGAACATTAATGTTAAAAATCATGGATCTGGATTTTTCAAATATAAAATTTTTTAGAAGTAGCTTTTCATGGTTTGGTTTAAAATAGTCTGTAGGAACAGTGAAGCCTTCCAGATAATGTAATAGCAGAGAAACTAGCATAACTATCAGAATAAATTAGAGCTTTGCAATTATGTAAGCAATGTGGTGGAATGATGCTGTTTTTTTTTTTTTTAAGTTTTTTTTTTCTTTTTTTTTGATGAGGATAGTTTTTTGAAATCTTTATTGAATTTCTTACAATATTGCTTCTGTTTTATGTTTTGTTTTTTTTTCACTGAGAGGCATGTGGGATCTTAACTCCCTGACCAGGGATTGAACCTGCACCGCCCCCCCGCCCCCATTGTAAGGTGACATCTTAACCGCTGGGCTGCCAGGGAACTCCCAATGCTGTTTCTTAGAAAAATATTTGGAAAATATTCTTAAATTGTTGATTCTACCTATGAATTTCCAGTATGAAAAGCACAGTTCTAGTTTTTTTTTTTGGAGGGGATCAGATAACATCCTTTTCTTCTTCAAATAAAACTTTACGTAGGGAAATGTGACAAGGTGATTCCCACTGAGCTCTGTCTACCCTTTTAAACATGTGATCACCTTCAAGAGTCTACTGAAAAGCTGCATTTTTGTTTTTCAGTTACCAAATGTGACTTTGAAACAGATAGCTGTGGTTGGTTTGAAGCAGCCTATGGTGATGATTTTGAGTGGACCTGGAGCTCTAGAAGTAACCTCTCTACTGAATTTGAAGGTCAGGCTCCACCTTGGGATCACACTCACAACACATCTCAAGGTAAGACTCCTGCAGAGGTTCTCCGAGCCTACACGCTTTCCCCAGCTAACGATGGTTTGACCTGATGATTCGTCAGCTTAATGATGGTGTGAAAGAGATCAATTCAATAGAAACTATATATCACGTTTCGAATTTTGACCATTTCTGGGATAATGATACACCTGTGATGCTCTCTCCTGATGCTGGGAAGAGGCAGAGATGTGGCTCTCAGGCAGCCACGTGATCACCATAATGGACAATCGATACAGTTATAGCTGTTCTATTTTTCACTCCCAGTAGAGCATTCAATAAATGACATGCAACATTCAACACTGTGGTATGAAATAGACTTTGTGTTAGATGATTTTGTCTAACTGTGGGCTAATGTAAGTGTTCTAAGCATGGTTAAGGGAGGTAAGGCTGTGATGTTCAGTAGGTCAGGTGTGTTAAATGCCTTTTGAACCTCGATATTTTCTTTTTTAAAAAAACTTTTTATTTACATAGGGTTGATTTACAGTGTTGTGTTAGTTACAGGAGTCCAGCAAAGTGAATCATTTATACATATATCTTATGTACATATTTTAAAATACATGTATTTAAGAAAACTTCAGTTTACATTGGAGTATGGCCAGTTAATAGTGTTGTGATAGTTTCAGGTGGACAGCCAAAGGACTCAGCCATACATCTACATGTATTCATTCTTCCCCCAAAGACCCCTCCTATCCAGGCTGTGACGTGACACCAAGCAGCGTTCCCTGTGCTGTGCACAGTACCTCCCTGTTGGTTATCCATTTCAAACGTAGCCGAGTGTATATGTCTATATCCACTCTTTTTTAGTTTCTTTCCCTGTATAGGCCACTACAGGGTATTGAGTAGAGTTCCCTCTGCTAGGACTTTGATATTTTTAACTTACGATGGGCTTATGAGACATAACTTCATCTTAAGTCAAGGGAGATAGTTTACCTTTGCTCAAGTCTGAGAAGAAAAAGAGAAGCAGTAAAGTTCTATGATACTACAACATAGGACAATGTGGAGTAGGAAATGGCAACCCACTCCCATATTCTTGTCTGGGAAATCCCATGGACAGAGGAGCCTGGCGGGCTATGGTCCAGGGGGTCAACAAAGTGTTGGACACAACCAAGCAACTAAACGATAATAGAACAGTTGAATATTACCTATTGTACTTATGTTGTCAAAAAAGAAATGCTCCTTGACGGGTTTTGGGGATGGAGTATAGATATATTCTTGGCTGAATTAATGGAAACTACCTGTTGTTTTTGGCATCATTTTGGCCCAGCTCTAGATAATAGTTGAGTACTCATAAAAGCAAATTTGCTAACAATCACTTTTATTGATTTTTAATTGTTGTATAGTCTTCAGTGTAGGGGTTACAGACGTCTCATTTTAGAATTTAGTAGGCTAAGTTATGATTTCTTCTTATTTTCCAATAGGGCACTTTATGTTCATTCTGAAGAAAAGCAACAGCTTATCACAAATTGCTAAACTCCAGAGCCCAACTTTCAGCCAGACAGGACCAGGATGCACTCTTTCCTTCTGGTAAATATTGAAAACAATGGTCAATTACTCTAGCAGCCTGGCAGTTGCAAGCATATACTTGCATATACTCGATACTGTCATTTTTCCTGTAATTTGGCTTTATTTTAAAAACAGCTATTGCATTAGATCCATACATTTAGCATTTTACTTAGGAGCACATTGTCAGTATTTAAATGTTCTTTCTTAAAATAAAAGGGACTCTTCCTCCAACAGTGGATTATAATTTAATTAACACTGCTTCCTGAATTCTGGACTGAACTCCTTGAGAGAGGTTCCCAGGGTCCTGAGAGTCAGAGTATGCACCTGAGCAGATAAGCTCTTTCAAATGGGTGGCCACAATAGTAAATAAAGGCATCTATTGTGAGAACTCATTTCTGATTGACTGTTGACTGAGTAAAAGTCACACAATTAGTCTTTTCCAGAAATTATTTCCATTTCTTGTGTTTGTTCTCTTTCAGGTTTTATAACTATGGCCTATCAGTGGGAGCAGCTGAGTTACAGCTACACATGGAAAATTCCAGCGAGTCCACGGTACTCTGGAGAGTATTGTATAACCAGGGTAACCAGTGGTCACAGGCAGTTGTTCAGCTTGGACGTCTTACTCAGCCCTTCCATTTGTTGCTACATAAAGTCAGTCTTGGCATTTATGTTGGTGTCTCAGCTATTGATGATATCAGATTTGAAAACTGTATTCTTCCACCCCCCTCGAAGAGCTGCAAAGGGCCAGATCATTTCTGGTGTCTACACACTAGGGCTTGTGTAAAAAAACTTCAGTTGTGTGATCTGGTGGATGATTGTGGTGATTATACTGATGAGGTCAATTGTGGTAAGTATCTTTCTTTCTGGTCCCTCTTACTCATTTTTTAAAAATTTATTTAATTGAAAGATAATTGCTTTATAATACTGTGCTGGTGGTGGTGGTTTATTTGCTAAGTCATGTCTGACTCTTTGTGGGCCCATGGGTTGTAGCCTGCCAAGCTCCTCTGTCCATGGGATTTTCCAGGCAAGAATACTGGAGTGGGTTGCCATTTCCTTCTCCAGGGGATCTTCCTGACCCAGGGATCGAACTTGTGTATCCTTCATTTCAAGCAGATTATTTACCGACTGAGCCACCGGGGGAAGCCTCACAATATTGTGTTGGTTTCTGCCATACACTGACATGAATCAGCCATAGGTATACATTTTGATGGTGGCGATCTTGATCAGTTCATTGTTTTCCTAGTCCATCAAGACAAAGGCCCTAAGCATTGTTCCAAAGTTGAATGAATGTTTTGTGTGATTAATTAGTCAGCCATCAGTATTTATTATGTAGATTTATGAACTAGATACTAGAGATACAGTGATGAGCACAATTACACAGAGTCCCTGACCCCATGGAGCTTACGGTCTCATTGAGGGGATAGATATTATTAAAAAATAAATGTAAAAGGACAGGAGCTTTGACAGGATTTACAAATGCTGTGACTTTATATAATTACGGCTTTGGACTTTTTAGAGATGGTGACTTAACTGAGATCTGAAAAATAGTAAGTAAATGAGGATGTGCAAAACCTGGTGCATGACCGCACAGCAGCTGCAAGATACCCAGTATGGCTGGAGCGAGGCATTGAGGGAGACCTTGGATGCAACATAAAGATGGAGATGAAGGGGGAGGCCAGATTATCAGATCTTTGTAGACCATTTTAAGAAAGTTTTTCCCCATTTGAAGGTTTTTAAGAAGGAAGGTAATATAATAAAGTTGATTTAAAAATTTAAGATTAAAAAATGTCACTGTGGATACAGTGTAATGAGTGGATTAGAGGAAAGTGGATCATATTTATTAGGAGTCTGTAGCAGCAGTTCCCAGGAGAGGGGATGGCAGCCTCTCTCCAGTGACAGTGGTGGAGATGCAGGGACTAAAGTTTGGGGGAGGGACCTTTAGGAAGGACATTTGATGATGTCTTAGATATAGGGAGCAGAGAGTGAGATGTTCAAGTCCTGAATTTCTGATTTAATTTACCAAAAAGTTGATGGTATCTGATCATTGCCTACCTCTTGCAGTTTAATAAACCTGGTTCCTGGTAGTGCCGGGTGCGTTCGTTTCTGAAAATGAATCACAAGCTAAGAGAGGTTTTTCTTTTTTAATTACCAAAATCTATCAAGGAAAGTTTGAATCTTTCTTTGTCCAGAAATAGCAACAATCCTTAAAATTCAGTCTATGTGCCTATTAAATTGGCAGGCTTATCATAAACCAAAGGAAAGCCATCAAATACTTGGAACATCATAGGAAACATTACATTGAGAAATTTCCATATAAATCATTGTGGAGAACTTTGCACATATGTGGTGTTTAATACAGTCAGGCACATTAAAGTCAGAATTGCCATGCAGCTTGTTACACAACTAACAACTTTAGTGCATATAAATGAAGTTGATGATTTCAACCAATGGCTGTTACAAGAAGCATTGCTTGTCCTAAAGGTAATTTATTTTTGCAAATTTAGAAAGCCTTTTCATCTTTTTCACTCACTTCAAGTCCCACTGCTTGAAAGATGTTGACCTATTACTAAAGATAAGCAAATTATCCTTCAAACTTCACAGTATTAACTGAGTAGAATAGGATTTTGGAAGTTTGGCTATAATATCAAAATATTTCTTCTGACTAAATATTAATGAGAGGAAACAATAGTGACTGTCACTTTCTCTCATAGCCTTCCATCTAGACATAGTAATTTTTAAAAATATTTTTAATTGGATGATAATTTCTTTACAATGTTGTGCTGGTTTCTGCTGTACAACCCTGTGAATCAGCCATAAGAATATAAATCAACCTAGTAATTTTTCTTAATGGAGACTCTTTAATTTTTTTTATTTTTTAGCTTTTATTTATTTATTTTTTGGCTGTGCCGTGTGGCATGCAGGATCTTAGTTCCCTGATCAGGGATCAAACCTGTGCCCCCGACAGTGGAAGTGTGGAGTTTTAATCACTGGACCACCAGGGAAGTCCCTAGATTTAGTACTTCATTAACAGAGAATGCATTAGTCATCCAGAAATCAATGCTTTATTTCCTAAGTATGCGTGAAACGTGGTCTTTCATTTAAGGGTGGGGCTATAATGCCTTCCATTTTGAAATAAAGATTGAGCATGCAGTCAGTCTGAAGACAGGCAATGTGAAAAAATCTGTTGGCTTTACTGCCAGTTTTATGTCAAAAACACAGTTGCTTGACATCCCCCTTCTGCTGCACAGCCCCAAACTGACACTTGCAGAGGACCTGTGGGGCCTGGTTCACGTCACAGCTGCGCTTGATTAGTCACAAGTGAGGAAATATCAAAGGAAAGCTCATCTCCCATTTGACATTTACTCTCTCGGTTCCCTTCATTAGGTCTAAGCTCCTGTTCTCTAGGTTTCAAGACAGATGATTTGTTCTTGCCTGGCTGCGTTTACTCATGTATGCTTTTATTTATTGTTTCAGAATGTTTGTTCACCTTTGGCGCCAAGTGCCTTAGTAAGATGAATAGAGGACAGCTGACATTTGTAGTTCAAAAATATGAACTTATGTAAATGAAGTTAAAATGTGGAATCTTCATTGATTCTAAATCCTGTCCCTTCTACCCAGATAATGTCAAATGTATATTCTATCCCATTTATTCTAAACAAGTACTTGGTGTCAACAGAACTGTCACATCTTGAAAAATGAATACATTCCAATATTATCCTACAACTGTAGGTAGAGTGTTCAGTGAATAAGGGACTGACTAATTCTTTAAAAGTGGTTTGAGTCCTTCTATTGACTGAAGGGAGTTAAAAGTTTAAAAGCACCAGGGACTTCCCTGGTGGTCCAGTGGCTAAGACTCCATGCTCCCAATGCGGGGGGCTTGGGTTCAATCCCTGGTCAGAAAACTAGGTCTCACATGCTGCAGCTAGACATTTGCATGCTACAACTAAGACCTGGTGAAGCCAAATAAATGGATAAATAAAACATTTTAAAGCATCAGCTCAAAGGAGCTACAACTCAGTGAATAGAGAAGATTACCACTGAGGAGACACAGCTAAGAACTGATGAGGCACACAGCATAAGAGGCATAGATAGAGGGAGAGGGAGAGGTCAGATGTTTAGGGCATGCTGATAAATTAGTGCATGCCAAGGGGAAAGACAGTTGTGGATGAATAGGAAGTTATTTTACTTTGGGAATGGTAAAACTTGAAAGATAGATTTTAGATTTAAGTTGAGATTAAATAAGTAAATATGAAAGGATTTTGAATAGAAAAGAAAAATGATAAGCTACCATTTAAATGTGGTCATTGTGGTACAAAGGAGGGATATTTGGAACTGGGGTGGGATGGATCCAGAGAGAAGAATTTGATTTTAGAGTGAAGTCTGGAAAACACCTGCCTCAGAATCATCTTGGGTGCTTATTAAAAATTGGGCTTCCTTCCATACTTTACACAGTGTTTGTACAGGACTTTACCATGGAGTAAACAACTTTACCATTCACCCCAGGGCACTTCAAAAGATTGAGAACTAGTATGATTCTTGTCAGCTGTGCATGTTAGAACTACCAAAGGAGGTAGTAAAATATCCTTTCAATTGATGGGTGCACAATTTGGACCAATTAAATCAACATTTCTGGAGCTGAATTTGAACTTTAATTTTTTTAATGTTCACTGGTGATTGGAACATTCAGCTGAAGTTGAAATCCATGGAGACAGAAGTTTGTTGCAGTGAGCCAGCTGTGGGGTAGTGATCATTTCCCTAAGGTTGGGATAGTGCTACAGGGCAGGGGATGGGTATAAAAGGCATTTAGAAAATAATGGCCAAAGTGATTCCACCTCCATCTATAAAATATTATTGCTTGATGTATTAGCTAAGATTTACTCTTCTTAAAAGTTTGATCTAATGTTGCATTAAAAAAGATTAGAGTGGTTTAACTTGGCAGAAGCAAAGGACCAACTAGTATTCCCATTCATAGTTATTTGGTCCTTAATGATCTTTTGATTTTATTTAATGCCCATTTCAGTACCTGAACTTCAGTGTAACTTTGAAAATGGAATTTGTAACTGGGAACAAGATACAGAAGATGATTTCGACTGGACCCGGTACCAGGGCCCAACATCAACGCTTAATACAGGACCGATGAAGGATAACACTTTGGGCACAGATCAAGGACACTATCTGTACATCGAAACTTCTGAACCACAGGTTTTCCAGCACCGAGCTGCTCTGCTCAGCCCTATCCTTAATGCCACTGATGCAGAGGGCTGCACCTTCCGCTTGTACTACCACATGTTCGGAAAGCACATTTATAGGCTGGCCGTCTACCAGCGAGTCTGGAACAACACAAGAGGACAGCTGCTGTGGCATATATTTGGGAACCAAGGCCCCATTTGGATACGGAAATCTCTCAGCCTTTTCAGCAGGCAGCCTTTTCAGGTATGGACAATAGCCTTCACAAGGTATATTCAAAATAGCATCAGAACATTTAAGGAATATGTAAGATTTCTATGTTTTGAATTAAAAGTGAAGTTTGGTCAGTTAGTTTGACACACATTTATCATTTAATTAAGGGTGTACCCAAACTCATTACGTTGTCTTCTTCCTTGACTACCTCCAGTAACTTGTAATTGAAATTCCTACAGGTGGACACATGGCATTGGACACAGTTGTAGGTTCTTCCAGTCTAAGTCGTTGTTGTGCTGAAATGAAAAACCTGGAGAAAAAAAAAAAGAGTTTGTCTCAATCTCTAGTCTTCTGCCAAAAGTTCAGACTCTTAAATTTGTTATTTTGAATCTCTCATTTGACTTCCTCACATTTTGTAGGTAAGGAGCAAAAATCCAGGAAGATAGCACACATTGTTGGAAGAGCTATTCTGGGGCAGAACCAGACTTTGAATCTAGGTTTCCTTCCTTTTGGTGGAATATTCTTTAAATCTTTCCTACCTTCTCCTAAAAGTCAAAGTTTCAATAGCGAGTTCAGATGCTTATGTGCTTTTATAGTTTTGTAAAGGGCTTTGGCATACTTTGTTTGACTCAACAATTCCCTGAAGTGGGTAAGTCAAAGATTCTTGTTGTCAGTTTTATAGATAAGAAGGAAAAAACTCAAGTTGCTTTTTGTGCTGTGCTTCATCACTCAGTCATGCCTGACTCTGCGACCCCATGGACTGTAGCTTGCCAGACTACTCTGTCCATGGGGATTCTCCAGGCAGGAATACTAGAGTGGGTTGCCATGCCCTCCTCTGCGGGATCTTCCCAAACCAGGGATCAAACCCAGGTCTCCTGCATTGCAGGTGGATTCCTTACCATCTAAGCCACCAGGGAAGCCCAAGAACAGTGGAGTGGGTAGCCTATCCCTTCTCCAGGGGATCGTCCCAACCCAGGAATCAAGCCAGGGTCTCCTGCGTTGCAGGTGGATTCTTTACCAGCTGAGCTCCTGGCCAGATAGATGGTGAGCAGAAAAACAGGGACTTGTTCTAGAACCCACGATGTCTATTTAATTCACCCTCATTCTGTTTCTTTTTTTTTTTCTTAAATAATGCGTTTTTTTTACTCTGCTTAAAAAAATAATTTTATTTATTTTGGGCTCTGCTGGATCTTCATTGCTGCACAGGCTTTTTTCTAATTGCAGCGAGTGGGAGTTACTCTCTAGTTGAGGTCTGCAGGCTTGTCATTGCACTGGCTTCTCTTATTGCAATGCATGGGCTCCAGGGTGTGTGGGCATCAGTAGTTTGTAGTGCATGGGCTAGGTAGTTGTGGCTCCCAGGCTATAGAGCACAGGCTCAATCGTTGTGGTCCACAGGCTTAGTAGCTTCATGGCATGTGGGATCTTCCCTGATCAGGGATTGAACCTGTGTCTCCTGCATTGGCAGGCACATTCTGTGCCACTGAGCCAACAGGGAAACCCTCATTCTCTTTCTGAAGCATCATATAGCCTGTTGCATGTAGCAGTGTTGAATATTTGTCTTTTCCTTCTGGCCAAATAGACATGTGTTTAATATATTGGAAGAAACTTCTTACCTATACTGGCTAAACTTTTTTTTGGCATATTCTAAACGTCTCAGTTACCCCAGTTGAAAGCACTATCTTTATCTAAATGTCTCGAGTGAAGAATTTTACAGCCAAGAACTTAGCTCCAGGTCACCTGAGCTTCTAACCATCATATATGTCCATTGTATGTGGCTCAGTAGAGAACACACTGGGGTTGGTGTTTTGTCCTGATAGACATAAGCTGACATCACGAAACCTAATCTGCAGGGTGCAGAGTGATATCTTGTTGTCCAGCCCAGTGGTAAGATCAATATAATCATGTGAAATGAAATTGAAGAGGGTTTTTTGACTTTTATTTAATAATGACTCATCCAGTTCAAGTTAATTCTTAATGTCTAATCAGGTCGATTGTAATTTGGGCTTAACTAGCATTTAAATGGATAAACTTTCCTTGTGATGTTTACTCAATAATTGCTTTTCACTTAGAGAATTGAGCTTATGGTTTCTGGAGGGGGATGGATGGGGAGAAGGGATTGTTAGGGCATTTGGATATACACATTGCTGTATTTTAAGTGGATAACCAACAAGGACCTACTGTACAGCACACGGAACTCTGCTCAATGTTACATGACAGCCTGGATGGGAGGGGAGTGTGGGGGAGAGCTCAGTTCAGTCACTCAGTCATGTCCGACTCTTTGTGACCCCATGAATTGCAGCACGCCAGGCCTCCCTGTCCATCACCAACTCCCGGAGTCCTCCCAAACCCATGTCCATTGAGTTGGTGATGCCATCCAACCATCTCATCCTCTGTTGTCCCCTTCTCCTCCTGCCCTCAATCTTTTCCAGCAAGAGGGTCTTTTCAAATGAGTCAGCTCTTCACATGAGGTGGCAAAGTATTGGAGTTGCAGCTTCAAAATCAGTCCTACCAATGAATAGCCAGGACTGATCTCCTTTAGGGTGGACTGGTTGGATTTCCTTGCAGTCCAAGGGACTCTCAAGAATCTTCTCCAACACCACAGTTCAAAAGCATGAATTCTTCGGTGCTCAGCTTTCTTTATAGTCCAACTCTCACATCCATACATGACCACTGGAAAAACCATAGCCTTGACTAGACGGACCTTTGTTGGCAAAGTAATGTCTCTACTTTTTAATATGCTGTCTAGGTTGGTCATAACTTTCCTTCCAAGGAGTAAGCGTCTTTTAATTTCATGGCTGCAAAAGAGTGGATACATGTAAATATATGGCTGAGTCCCTTTACTGTCCACCTGAAACTACCACAATGGTGTTAATCAGTTATACCCCAGTACAAAATAAAAGTAAAAAGAAAACAAAAATTGATTTTCAGGAGAAAATCAGCTTTGCACGGGAGCAGCTTCAGAGTCAGATGACCATGGAACTAACCACAGATTCCTTTGGTTATGAATCTAAAGCATAAATATTTAGGTTTGAAACCCATTCTGGATTACACAGAGTACTCTATTTGATTTTATCCAAGGGTTCTTTTTTTTTTTAATGAATTTTAGGCATGAAAAGATTAAATTAGAGATTCTGCATGTTGTATAGATTAATGGTCTAAGATAATAAGGATTGAGACCGTTTTAAGCAATAGGATGTTTATTCATTGAATGATGGATATACATAGTTTCTGTTCTACTGAGCAAAAGTGGTAACAACCAACATTTTTATTAACTGTGATATTGTAGTGAAATTACCTAGTATCATGCCCAGGAATTAATAGGTACTCACTAAATATTTGGTTAATAGAAAAATTTAAAGGTTTTCCAGGATCATTCATTTAAAATGAAATACATAGGGTAGAACCAGATTGCGCATGCAGGTATAGGAATAATTTGTCTGATTAATGTCAGTTTAAATTATCATCCACTGCTTTTATGTGTGGTAGGGCCAGTAAAAGCTCAGCAAGTCATTGCATATTAAACTTCAGGTCAACCTTCTACCTAATTTTTATTATGAGATTTTTGAGATTTGATTGATAACTATCCATAGTGAATGTATAGTCAAGCTAATTCAAATATCAATGTGCTTCATTCCTGAAAGTTTCCTAATATCCCTTTTTTTAAATTGATTTTTGACTGCACTGGGTGTTCACTGCTTTACCCAGGCTTTCTCTAGTTGTGGTGAGCTGGGGCTGCTCTTGGTTGCAGTGCATGGGCTTTTCATTGTAGTCACTTCTCCTGTTGCAGACCACGTGCTCTAGAATGCACGGCCTTCTGTAGTTGCAGCATACGGGCTCTAGGGCGAATGGCCTTCAGTAGTTGCAGCGTGCGGGCTCTAGGCCCTAAGGGCTTCAGTAGTTGCAGCTTGAGGGTCTTACAGTGCAGGCATAGTAGTTGCGGCACACAGGCTTGGCTGCTTTGCAGCATGTGCAATCTTCCCGGACCAGGGATCGAACCCATGTCCCCTGCATTGGCAGGTGGATTCTTATCCACTGTGCCACCAGGGAGGTTCCTGATACCCCTTTGTAATATCTCCTGGCCCTCACTTCCATCCCTGGACAACCACTGAACTTTCAGTGTATATTAAGTTATACCGCTCAAACTGTTACATAAGTCAAATTGTATGGTATGTACTTTTTTCTGACATATTTCATTCTGTATAATTATTTTGAGATTCATTTTATTACCAAATATATCAGTACTTCACTTTTTTTTATTTTTAAATAGTATTCCACGATATGGTTAGAGCAGTTTTTCCATTCTTCTTGGCAGGGATTCAATATCAGCAGTGTTCACTGATAAGTATTGCAAAAACCTAGTTTAAAGAAGCTTATTAATTCTTTGGCACCACAGGAACCAGGGCTTACAAGCTTCTGCTCACTTATTCCTAACATGGCCTTGTTTTCTGAAGTATATATTTATATATGAAATTGGCCCAAGGAGAGGACATGGACTTTCAAAGAAAAAAATTCTCCAGGTGGTATCCCATCATTAAAATATTAAGAAATTGAAAAAAAAAAAAAGATTCTTTGGCTAGACCTCTTAACACCACAGAACTGTCTGACTAAATCTGAAAGAATTCTATAGTGTTCTGGTAACATCCCTCAGTAATAAAGAGAATTTTCTACTGGTGGATTTTGTGAAAAGAGTGAAAAATCTCATTCATAATCATGATTTATTCTTTTCATTTGTGGGATGTAGCTTTAAGTCCTAAATGGTACATCATTTTTCAGTACTTCTAGGAAAAATGTTTCATAAGTTATATTGTAAATAAAATGGAACCATATTTAATAATGTTAAGTTGATTCCACTTTTCATGAAATTGTATACAGAAGTGCTACAAGTATAAATTATTTATGCAACCTAATGTAACATTTTTCTTCCAAGCTTCTAGTGGAATTGTTAGAATTTACATTGAAAGGTTTGGGATGGAATCTGCTGGCTTGGAGCCTGTGTAAGTAGCGCTCATAGATTTGTTGCTTACTGAAAGTAT